ATGTCTTTATTGTCCAATCCTGTGACTGCAGTGGCTGTGAGGAACAGTGAAATTCAATAACTTCAATGAGAGGACTCATCTTTGCATGAGAAGACTGATCAAGAAGCACTATACACTTGGATGAGCTCAATTGTAATCTCCTTATACAACCTTTTGAAATTCAGGAAAAATTAAAATTTAAAATTCATAGCTTTAAGACTCCACAGTATGAGTTGGATGTTCCATTGGGTTTACAAGTATATAGAGATGTGTATCACCGTTATAGTATCATATAGAATGGTTTTACTGCCATAAAAATTGTGCCTGTGCTTCCTATTCATCCCTCTTTTCCCCAGCTTCTGATCTGTTTACCATCTCTATGGTGTTTTTACCAGAATGTCACATCATTGAGATCATACAGTATGTATATAGTCTTTCAGATTGTTTTTCTAATTAATTAATTAATTAATGCTGGTTGTGGGCCCTGAACTCTGGGCCTGGGTGCTGTCTCCCAGATCTGCAGCCCAAGGCTAGTGCTCTACCAGTTGAGCCACAGTGCCACTTCCAGCTTTTTCTGCTTATGTGGTGCTGAGGAATCAAACTCAGGGCCTCACGCATGCAAGACAAACAAAAACTATACCACTGAGTCACTATCCCAGCCCCTGTTTTCACTTTACAATGTGGATTTTTATAAAGTTTCAGCATGTCTTTTGATAGCTTTGTAATTTATTTATTTTTAGCATATAATAATGTTGCATTGTGTGGATGTACTGCATTTATCCATTCACCTACTAAAGGGTATTTTGGTTATCTCTCAGTTTTGGCTATTACCAAACAGTAAAGCTGTTACAAATGTATGTATGCAGGATTTGTGTGGACATAACTTTTTAACTAATTTAGATAAATCTTTAAAGTATATTTCATCTGATTGCCTTTTTTGTGATAGTACTGTAGCTTGATCTGAGGGCTTCATGCTCTTCCTTATCTTTTCCACTCAGGTTTGGCACTCCATCACTTGAGCTATATATACCTCCACTTCAAGCTTGTTGCTACTTAGTTGGAGATAAGAGTCTCACAGACTTTTCTATCCAGGCTGGCTTCAGACTGCAACCTTTACATCTCAGCCTCCTAAATAGCTAGGATTATAATCATGAGCCACTGGCACTGACTTCATATAATGGCCTTTAAAATTATTTTAAATAAACTGAAAACATTAGAAAATTCTAATTCTCAAAAGTTTGAATCAAGAGGTATTATATGTAAGAAGATGACATTGTACGAGGGTTTATAGAAAGTAGGTACATTTTATAACAAAGGGATAAACATTTCCTGTCTGACATTTTCCCATGGGGCAGCTTTAAATATGATGTTGATGAGCAACTTAGTTTTGTGCTATAAACTCAAATGAGTTCTTTCTTGATCTTGAATGAAAGAGCGAGAGATGATAATGTTAGCTGTGCTGTGTTGATCTGAAAATGCTGTATGTGGACACTTGCTCATTAGATACTGGACTTTTACATGTGACATTAAAATTAAAATGTAAAGTGACAAGGTATTTTGGACTATATTCCAACTACTTGCTGGTGATGAAAGGTGATTCATCAGGTGAATCTGGTGCCCTCTTTGCCTCTTCATTTTCATTTGTCACATTTTGCCCCTCTGCCTTTTTTTGGAGGATGTAAATATAATAGATTAAAACAATCTGTAAATTAGCATATGAAGTATAAGATCTAGCTTTTATTATTTCTAGTTTTTTTGTTATATGGCTATTTTTAAATGGTTCATTTCTACAGAAGTAAAATATGCATTTTAGGTCTGGAGCATGGCTCAAGTAATAGATCACTTGCTTAGAAAGTATGAGCTATTGAGTTCACAAACCAGTACTGCCAAGAAAAGAAAGGAAAATTCTTTATATTATATTGTCTTACTTAACTTTTAATTTAACAGTGTGTCTATATGCTAGGCCTGCTTATTTATTTAAGCCAGATTTCAAGAGAATCTATAAATGCAATATATACAAGAATTGGGTAATTCTTTAGTTGAATGTTGACATTGGAGAATTTAGTTTTACCCCTAAAGTTATTATTTTAAAACATTATATTTAACTGATCGTGATTAATGGTAGATGTAAATAATATTGAGATTTTTCAGCATTTTCTGTAACTCAAGTAAAATTTTCAGAATCCTTAGATGGTCTTTATTGCCAATAGAAAAGCTCATTTCTGGGTCATGCTTGGTATGACATGTCTCTAGTCCTAGCTATTCAGAGTTGGAGGTGGGAGTATTGTATGCTGAGTTGAACAAAAGTGAGAGACTGTATGAAAAACAAACTGAAGCAAAAAGAGCTGAAGGCATGGATCAAGTAGTAGAGTATGAGACCCTGAGTATGTGTGAATGTATAGAGAGAAAATTTATTTCTGCTAGGTGTGGTGGCACAAAACAGTAATACCCAGGAAGATCACAATTTAAGGCCAGTCTGGGATAGAAAATGTGACCTTGTCTCAAACTATTTAAAAATTTAAAAATTTTTGAAGCAGTAGTTCAGCCTGTACTCCTAGCCACTTGGAAGGTAGAGATCAGGGGATCACAGTGCAAGGGGATCCTGGCAAAAAATGTATGTGAGATTCCATCTCCACAAATAGCTAGGTGCAGTAGTGTACATCTAGCATCCCAATTATGGAAGAAACACAAATAGGAAGATTGCAATCCAGGATGGCCTGGGTATCAAGCAAAATCTTAACTCAAAAATAACCCAAACAAAAAGGGCTGGCAGAATGGTTCAAGTGGTAGAACACCTGCCTAGCAAGCATGAGGCTCTGAGTTCAAACCTCAGAAACACCATTAAAAAATAGAAAGCAAAGCCGGGTGCCAGTGGCTCATGCCTGTAATCCTAGCTACCCAGGAGGCTGAGATCTGAGGATCGCAGTTCAAAGCCAGCCTGGGCAGGAAAGTCCGTAAGACTCTTATCTCCATTAAACCACTAGAAAACTTGAAGTGGCGCTGTAGCTCAAGTGGTAGAGTACTAGCCTTTTGAGCTGAAGAGCTGAGAGACAGCGCCCAGGCCCAGAGTTCAGGCCCCATGACTGGCAAAAAAAAAAAAAAGAAAAGAAAGCAAAAGAAAAAAATTTTTTTTGGTTGTTGAAACATTGTTTTATTTTAAAAAATTATTTTTTCTTTTTTGTTGGTCCTAGAACTTGATGTCAGGGCCTGAGCACTGTCCTTGAGCTTTTGTGCTCAAGGCTAGCACTCTACCACTTTGAGCCACATCTCTACTTCTGGTTTTTAGGTGGTTAATTAGAGATAAGAGTCTCATGGACTCTTCTGCCTAGACTGGCTTCAAACTGTGATCCTCAGATCTCAGCTTCCTGAGTGGCTGGGATTATAGGCATGAGCCACCAATGCTTTGCTTAAATTATTATTTTTTTTATTATTTTATTTTTTTTGGGGTCCAGTCATGAGTCCTGAACTCTGGGCCTGGGCGCTGTCCCTCAGCTTTTCAGCTCAAGGCTAGCGCTCTACCACTTGAACCACAGCGCCACTTCTGGCTTTTTTTTTTTTTTGCTTATTGGTGCTGAGGAATCGAACCTAGGGCCTCAAGCATGCAAGGCAAGTGCTTTACCACTGAGCCACCTTCCCAGCCCCCACTTCCCAAAGTATTTTGAAAGAATCTAACAGATTTTAAATTGCTCAAATTGCCTTTTAATTCCAAATTTATGTGTGGTGTCCCTTCTAAATTCTTTGAGTTGTTACTTAGAAGGTAAAGTATGGATTATAACTAGAACAATTTTCTTTTTTTTTTGGGTCTGGTCGTGGGTCTGAACTCTGGGCCTGGGCGCTGTCCCTTAGCTCTTCAGCTCAAGGCTAGCACTCTACCACTTGAGCCACAGTGCCACTTCCGGCTTTTTTCTTTTTTCTTATGTGGTGCTGAAGAATCGAACTCAGGGCCTCAGGCATGCAAGGCAAGCACTCTACCACTGAGCCACCTTCCCAGCCCCTAGAACAATTTTTTTTTTTTTGTCGGCCGTGGGGCTTGAACTCTGGGCCTGGGCGCTGTCTCTCAGCTCTTCAGCTCAAGGTGAGCTCTCTACCACTTGAGCTACAGCGCCACTTCCGGTTTTCTGGTGGTTTATTGGCGATAGGAGTCTCACGGTCTCTCCTGCCTGGGCTGGCTTTGAACCGCGATCCTCAGATCTCGGCCTCCTGAGTAGCTAGGATTACAGGCGTGAGCCACCAGCGCCCAGCCCTAGAACAATTTTTTATGTTGACTATATTATTACCGAAATATTTCAGCCAAACTATCTTTTTCAAATACAGGAATTTTGCAAAAACCAAACTTAATTTTAAAAATAACTTTACATTATTGCTTTTCTCTAAAGTAGAGAAGTTGGATATTCTTTGGCCTGCTTTGTAGATGATGGGAAAGAGTGATTTGCTCAAGGTCACACTGAAGCAAATTGCAGAATTGAGATTAGAAAGGGCCTTCTGATTCAGCTTAATGTGTCTTTTATCTGTGTTAGGTTAACAATCTTTCCCAGTATTTCACCATAGACAATTTCATTTTATTCCGTGTCTGTTCCTACCAAAAAAAGATAAAGGTAATTTGAAACTTAAGTTTTTTTTTTTTTCTTCAAGGGTTGGTTTGTTGAGACAGGGTTTCTCTATGTAGCCCCGGTTGGCCTTGAACTCCTTATTCTGCCTCAGCTTCCTTGGTACTGGAATCAGCAAGCCTAGCTTACAACTTAACTGTTTAGTATGAATCTAAGCTAATGTGATGAGAAGGCTGGAGGTAGAAGTGAGCATTTACTTAATTTTTGGCATTTGAGTCCTCATGAAGAAGAATTATTTACCTATAAATAAACTGTATGATGTTCATCACCTTTATTTTTTTTTTTACCCAATTAAAACAGTAGCACTGGATAAATGTAACAAGAATCTGACAAGAGAATTCAAGGCTAAAAGTCATTTGGTTTTAGTGTGAATTATATAATCAATAAGGGATTCTTCTGTACCTTCTCTTACAGATGCTGAAATTTTCTTCTAAGGAAAAATATCCTTTATTTACTTTTGTAAATGGCCATTCCAGAGACTATGATTTTACATCTTCTACTACCAATGAAGAAGACCTGTTTTCAGAGGATGAGAAGAGACGATTAAAAAGATTTAGCACAGAAGAATTTGTCTTACTTTAAAGACCACTGTGTTTGTGCTTGGTGAGACCTTTGAAAGGGGAAAAATGAGGAGTCACGAGTACCCTTGAAGCTTTATTTTCACCATCTTGATTTTATATGTCGTACTAAGAAAGAACATTTGAAAATACAAAACTTTAAAGATACCTTTTCTGACAGAAAAATGATTTAATTAATTTTGCTTTCTGATGAATATTAATGATTCTGGTTGTATTTCTATTTTCCTAAAATCTACTAATGAATCACTACATTCATTGTAAGCCTTTTAGTTGTTAACCTTCTACTTCTGCTCATTGGCCCACTGGAGCTTTGTGACAGGCTTCTCAAAGAATGGGACCACAAAATTAGTTTCAGAAGCCTCAGTTTGTATTAATGACCAGGAGCCTACTATTAATGCAGCTAGAGTGTACTTGTGGTTTATATATCTTGATAATTAAGTAGCATTTGTTACCTGTGAAGTATATCTAATTGTTTTGTTTTTGTATATTAAAAGGAGAATTTTGAGTTAAGGTGATAGCCATGTGATTTTATAATGCCAGCTTATTATACTTCCTGTTTAGCCTTCTATAGGTTTTGTTATTAATAGTAACTAGACACTTAGATTAGACAAAGGATTAGTAGTAATGTTTGTTCCCTATCTCAAAATGAAATTTTATGGGAATTCAACTTCGGCAGTTTTAAAAATGGAATATAAAAACCTATAAATATGTCTCTGATTTTTCTATTTGTATAAAACAGTGTAGTGATGTTTTTTAAACAGTTGAACCGTTTATGAAGGAAATCTGCTATAGGATATTATGCTTTACTCTTAGGCAAATTTACGGTATAAAAATACAAGAGTTATTGTTGAGCCAGGGTTATAAAATGAATAATAAAGGTGTGAGCACATAAAATGCCTTTTTTTTGGTTTAATGTTGGGATTATTTTAATCCTTTCATTTGAATAACATCTTAAATGAATTCTGTTTATTTGTAATGAAGGCAAATACTATTGTTGCTCTGAAAGCAAAACATTATCTTACTTTATAGAGCTTTTCTTTCAATATGTAAAGGTGACTTACTATAAAGACATAAAATTTTGTATCATCTAAAGTCATTGATCTCTTCCATAAGAAAACCCTGTTTGTTTAGAGTTGCATGTGAAACTGAAACAGAGTGGGCAGATTGCTTTACTATGCCTGATGAGAGAAATTGCGTTTGACATTTCCTGGTAAGGATGGTTTATTGAATTGAAATAGTTCAAAATCTAATTTTTTTCTTATTCCTAGATAAAATCTGGACAGATTAAGTCCAAGACTAATTTTCTAGAATGTCAGGGCAGCATAGAAACAGGAAGCTGATGGTATGTGAGACTTTTTATTCGACGGTCCTTTCATCTAAGCCATTGCTATTTACTGTTCCACATAGCCACAGTGGTCATAGGTCAATGAGAGAACTCACAACTTACTGTGCATTTTTCTATAAGAACTATATAAAAGCTTAGGATTACAGAAGAGCCTTGGTATTTTCCTAACTTATTGTGGGATCATTTTAAAGTACAATTTTGGAATGGAACAAATTGCACCTGGACAATGGTAAGAGAAGGCAGCAACGTTCTTTGTGTTTGTATTGAAAATATGTACTCATTGAAAATATGTTGAAAATATGTAGAAATCCTTTTTTTTTTTTTTTTGGTCGGTCGTGGGGCTTGAACTCTGGGCCTGGGCATGTACAAATCTTTTAATACAGTCATCCACATCACTAAGAATAAATGTTGAGAATGAGTATCATTACCATAAATAAGCATATAAAAAGTATTCAGTAGTATACATGAGTAAATGACTGCATGAATGGAAATTGAGAGAGGCTGTTGGATTTATCTTGCTTGTTTATTAATTGAACTTTATCTGAGGACTAGATAAAAATGAGGCTACTCTTTTTGGGAGAAAGCGGCAAAAAAAATGGCATTATTAGGTTTAGAATAGAAGCAGTATATATCCTAGTTGCAGACTCAGTTTTGAACTCAGATTTCATTTCAAGTTCAAAGAGCCACTAAGCACAGTTAGTAAAGCTTATGGATGATGGTGCTTAGCCTGGAATAAGGGAACATCAGAAAGGACAAAGTTCTAAAATGGTCATTCTGTTGGAATTGGGATGGGAATCCTCGATTTGGGCATCAATATTAAGATAGTAGATTTTACCATTAACATTCCAGAAATGAATTTTTAAATTCTAGATAGGACTTTTTGATAATGAAGATTTCTTTTGTTTCTTCATAAGACTTGACAATTGGAATCCCTTTTTGCCATTATGTGAACCACTGGCAGGTAATTTTGAAAGTCATAATTTACTGAACGAATGAAAAGATCTTTTATAGTATAAGTATATACAAAAAAGATTTCCCTGAGGTATTCATTTTTCTGCTTTTACATTAAATCAGCCACATTAAATTTGTATTAGTTAGAAGACATCTTTTAGAAGATTAAGAATTTAGGTCACTTTTGTATTCTGTTAACCTTAGGATTTAACATTGCCTAATGAGGCCTTACTATATGTGTTAAATCCAACTTGGTTTTAGAGAAATTAAAGTAAAAGATGAAGAAAGGAAATGATGCTGTGGCTCAAGTAGTAGTGCTTGCCTCCAGCTGTGGAGCTCAGGGACAGTGCCCAGGCCCAGAGTTCAAGTCCCATGACAGACAAAAAAAAAAAAAAGATTGATATTTGCGGGGTGCCTGTGGCTCACGCCTGTTATCCTAGCTCTCAGGAGGCTGAGATCTGAGGATCACGGTTCAAAGCCAACAGGGGGACAGGAAGTGATGCTGTGGCTTAAGTGCTAGAGCTGAAGAGCTCAAGGATAGCTTCAAGGCCCAAAGTTCAAACCCCATGACCGACCCCCCCCCCCAAAAAAAAAACAAACCACAACACAATCCATAAAACCACAACAAAAGAAATGAAGTAAAATGACATCTTTTTAATCTGTCCACTTTTGGGTTAGATACCTGTAGGAGATCTCTAGTTAATCTTCTATTATTACATGCCAGAAAGCATTTAATTACTGATTAAATTACACCAACCCAGCTTTTCATTTACTTTGGTTCTTTTCTAGTAGGGAGAAGTTTCATTTTTATGGTTTATCACAGATTACCTTTAATAGCTTCAATTTGGCATCTAAGTATTTTTGACCATACAAATTCATATCCAAGTATAAAAAATACTTTGAAATTTTTTTCAAAACAGGAAACAGAAGAGCAAATAAATAATTTGTAGGTATCAAATCACCAGTTAGGTTACCATGAGGAAGCAATTGAGAATTTAAAATAATGGAAAATAGAAGCAAGAAATTCTTAATTCATAATAGAAGCAATTTCTTGGAAACATAAGGGATTATTATTTTTTATAAAAGAACAAGTGTCTTCCAAAATTTTAAAAGAGAATAAATATTTACAATATGCTATTGATGATAGCCTCAGTATTATTGTCAGCTCACCACAGTTTAGTAGTGTTATTCAGTTGAGCTTCCATACTAAGTTTTGGGAGAGTAAATTGAAAAGGTGAAATATCAAGCCAGGAAAATTGAGAACATCCTATTGATTCTAAAATATAAATTTTATATCATTTTACGTTTGAATCTTAAGTCAGTTTCAAAATCTTAAAGAAATTTTGTGTGGCTTTCATAGTTATTTAAAGACTTTGTCATTGCCTATAAACTTTTTATATTTAGAATTGGTACTGCAGACACATTTTGGCTTAGCATTTTCCTCTCTTTCTTTTTTACAGTCTTCCTCGACATTATTGGTGACAAGCAATGGCCAAAGCATTTAAAACTATAAGATTTTACTTATTCTCTCACAGTGATAAGAAAAATACTGTAATTGTGGAAAAGATGTTTGTTATTAGGTAGAAAAATTACTTTTTGTTGTTATACACTTTAATTTTTCCAGAAATTTAAACAGCCTTCCAAATATTCTTATTCTTGAGTGAGAAATGAAGGAAATATTCCATAGAGAACTATCACTCATTAGAAATGTGTGTATGTGTGTGTGTGAAAGAGAGAGAGAGAGAGTATGTGTGTTTGTGCACACACACATACATGGAGCTTGACCTCAGGGCGGGGTGCTATCTGAACTTTTTTGCTCAAGACTAGTGCTCTACCATTTGAGCCACAGCTCCACTTCAGCTTTTTGCTGGTTAATTGGTGAGAAGAGTCTCCTGGACTTTCCTGATTGGGCTTTGCTGAGAACTGCAACTCACCATCCTCAGATTTCAGCCTCTGGAATAGCTAGGATTACAGACTTGATCCCTTAGTGCCTGGCTCCATTCATTTAAATGATTGAAAATGAGTTCATGGCTGGGCACAAGTGGCTCACGCATGTAGTCTTAGCTACTCAGTAGGTTGAGATCACGGTTCACAGCCAGCCAGGGCAGGAAAGTCTATGAGACTTGTATCTTGTAACTGCTAGAAGAAACCTGAAAGTGGAGCTGTGGCTGTACTAGTAGAACCCTAGCCATGAGCAAAAAAGTTCAGGGATAGGAGTTTAAGTCCCAAGACCAGCACCAAAGAAAAAGTTTGTGATCATTTTGTCATAAGATAATTGCATTTACCATAAGATAATTATAATACACATTTATATATCATGATACATAATTGACATGTAATAATAAATGATAAATACATTTTATACTAAAATAGCATACATGAATGAAAATAGAAAAATGTGTTTAAAAAATTCTTTTATATCCAACAAAGGCAAACAAAGAAAGTTGAAATCCAATGGATGTCTGTGAACAAATGGACTAACAGCACAATTAATGTGAACATTGGGATGTGGATAATCACCTAGCAGTTCAGATCAGGGAGTCTAATTAGAACAGGTGGTTTTAGTGCAGAGATGCAGATTTAAAGCATTTCTTTTTTGGGGGTGGTGGTGAAGGGGTGCTGGTCCTGGGGCTTGAACTCAGGGCCTAGGAGATGTCCCTGAACTTCTTTTGCTCAAAGCTAGCATTCTACCACTTGAACTATAGCTCTACTTCCAGTTTTGGTAGTTTAGTGGAAATGAGAGTCTCACAGACTTTCTTGTCCCAGCTGACTTTGATCCATGATTGTCATATCATATCTTCCTGAGTAGCTAGGATTACAGGCATGAGTCACTGGTGCCTCTCCTCCCTCCCTCCCTCCCTCCCTCCCTCCCTCCCTCCCTCCCTCTCTCCCTCCCTCCCTCCCTCCCTCCCTCCCTCCCTCCCTCCCTCCCTCCCTCCCTCCCTCCCTTCCTTCCTTCCTTCCTTCCTTCCTTCCTTCCTTCCTTCCTTCCTTCCTTCCTTCCTTCCTTCCTCCCTTCCTCCCTTCCTTTCTTTCTGTTTTAGGCTCCCATTCATTAATCGGGTTCAGTAAGGTGTTTTTATATTTTTATTTATTTAGCTATATTCTATGTAGCATCCTTTTTTTTTTCTTTTTTAAAAGTTTTGCAAATCATAGTATGTAACAGCACTTCACTCTTTGTGACTGGATAATATACTATAGATGAATAATACCACATTTTATTTATTCTTCAATTGATGGACATTGAGATTGTTTCTACTTTGGGGCTATTATGAATAATGCTTCTTTAACAGTTATCAACATAACTATGTTGGCTTATGTTTTCTTTTTTTCTGACCCTGCAAAGGAATTGGTGTTGCTAGTCATGTAGTAACTTTACATTTAACTACTTGAAAAATTACCAAGTTGTTTTTTTCATCAACGTGACTACAGCATTTTAACAGCAATCTACCTCCTCACCAACCCTGATTTTTCTAGTTACTTGTGATGTTGACCATCTTCCCATGTGCTTAGTTTCCATTTTTATATTCTAGAAGAAATGTTTTCAAGTTCTGTGCTCATTTTTAAGTTGGATCTTTTGTCTTTGTATTATTTAGTTGAA